GAGTTTCGAATAGATTCCTAAAGTAGAAAGTCGATGAAATTGTAACTCCATCTCTAAAGAAATGAAATTCTTTTAAGGAACTGGCACAAACTTAAAAGTTGTATTCCTTAGAGTAATTTAAATGCATGTAGTTTTAATGCTTCTTAAGAGAAGATAATTTAAATAAACATAAACTCCAATAGCGAATAATTTAAAAGTAAAATAAAAATTATTTGGAGTAAAAGGAATTGCATTTCTGATGTTTTGTGTTACGAACAAAATCTTCAGTTTAGAAACATTTATTAATAAGGATTCTTTAGCAATGTAATTTTCTTTTTCATCCTTAAATTATTCAGAAAAGAACAATTCTCTGGAACAACTAACGTAAAATGTTTACCGCTATAAGACTATAGTAAAAAGAATTTGGTTAGTAATTTTTAAATTCTATATTGGATATTTCAAAATAATGCGGCTAAAATATCATACTCAGACATAACAGGTATACAAAAAGAATAAAAAACCATATAGGGACATGACGTCGCTAATGCTAATTGGGGTTACTAGAGGGCGTTTTTCTATGAAAACTAGAGTACCAGTTGAATGACCACCACGATCACCAGCTTTGTGCCCAACTGATTTTTCCTAAAGAGATTTAGGAAGCATTGTTACAGCAGTAAGATGCATTCGAGATGCTTTTGGCATATTTAAAAAGATATGGCATTCCATGCAGTGTAATGCTTGTCTCCAATAATCTGGCAAAAACTTGGAATATCTCTTCCAGTTAATATTGGCTCTAAATGTGTAATATATATGTGGCAATACACAATGAATAAAACGATGCAGAGCTTTTCGAAATTACATATTTTCAGTTGAGGGCGCGGAAAATGTCCAGGTTTGGTACGATACGTTTGGTACGATGATCATACGATAAATCAGCATAGCCGGAAGATTGAACTTTTAATAGAAAAGATTTTAACGGTAATGTAAGGACATTTTAATTACCTGTCTCATTCTTAGCTTCTTCTATATTCATAGAGAATTCTGCTAATCCTTCGTAGTCTGACGTATATTTTGATACTTCAGGTAGTGCATTGATAACTATACCATTTATGCAGTAGAATACTATAAACCAACTAAAAATCTGTAAACAAAATTAATGTATTTTTTTAAAAATATGTCTATTTTAATTAACATATTTTAGTTATTAACTGTTTACTCTGTAAAAAATAGTCAATAGAAAAATACGCAATCGTAAATTTTCATGGCTAGCTTTGTTTTTTTTAAAAAAAATTGAATTTTTCATTTGCTGCAAGATATTTCGCATAAGAACGCGTACCCCCGCTTAATTGTTCCAGTACCCCTGGGGGTACGCGTACCACACTTCGGGAAACACTGGCCTACGCCACCATTTTTATTATTTTTTTATTATCTTATTTATTTTTGAACACTAAAAATTAAATAAAAGGAAAAAAATAAAATAAGATAAAAAAAATACAAAAAATTGACTAAATTTCCTTTTGCCCGGCTTACAGGAGAGTAATAATTTAAGATATCAATAAAAACGATTAAATCTTCAATAAGATTATTTGGTTCAAGATTTTAATAAAAGATAATCATGAAAAACATTATTTGATTCAAGATAATAGTCAAAGATAATGACCAAAGAGATTGATTCGAAAATATATCAAAGATTGATGCATTTAGCAAATGAAAGGTTTAACTAGTTGAAAACATGTTTTTGGCAGTATCTGACAAGTTTAGTTTGAAAGTAAAAATCAAAGCTTTTAAATCTTTAGAAAGCAAAAAATAATATTTAGCATAGAGAAAACAAAGATGCATATTTTGTGCTTATTTGACATTCCTAATATTCAAATAGGGTTTTTGTTTCGTTTGACCTTTCCTAACTGACGCTAAACACGAAAACTAGATGTGTTAACTTTGAGTTAGCTTTTAGTACTGAGAATGTTTGTTTACGCTTCGACTTAAAAATCTTTTACTTTGAACTTTAAACTTTTATAGTTTAACTATTTCGTGGTTTGAATATTGAATATTTTGCTTTTCATTTTCATACGTTAAGTATGATTTTCAATAGATTGACAACCAGTGAGATTTAAACTTCGTACCATGATTCTAATAGATATTTTGGCGATGTTTCTCATGCGAAAATGATGAATTTGATTTCATTTACGTAATTAGGCATATGAAGAAAAATAATCGCTAAGCTAAATTGGTTGTGAGGCACTGATTCGTAATACGAGTTTTAATTTCTTTCAACGTAACAAGCATTTCTTTCTTTCTAACTTTTTCATTTTTTTATTTTATGTTTTTTAAAAACAAGATTGAAAAGAATTGAAACATGTCTCGATTTTCTTGTCTAATCAAGTATCCTGCATAGCCCAACAAATGTTCCAAATATCATAAATTTCTTAATTTTGTAAAATAAAATAATATTTAAAATTGACAAACTTTGAGAAGATGATACCAAGAATTTTTCTTGAATAAACTCATAGCTATTAAAGCTAATTCTGTCCTTTATGAATAGTATTCCGACATTTATTTATTTACAGAAACATCTTAAAACAAGTTTAGTTGTTTACTTTTGCATAAAAGTTGACTTATTATACAGCAAGTTCACTTTAAGTTTTTAAAGTTAGTAAATATTTTAAGATCATTGGGTATACAAACAATTCAAAGAACAAGCTGTTAACTAATGCAATTTTTAGAACTTGTAATTGGATGCCTGTAAGTGACGGCATCGTAGATAACTCCTAAATCGTGGCATTTGTCGATTCAGAAGCCAATCAGGTTCAACACACGCGCGGGACGTCGCTTACAGGTATCCAATTATATCTGATTTAAGTCACATGGTTAGACATAATCACTTCATTTCTTCTTAAGCTGCATGTACCCAATTAAGATACTAACGATAGTCTGCTTCAAAAATGTCAACATTGATAAAATCATTTCATGAAAAGAAGTAATAATCATTTTACTTTTTAAGAAGTTTAAAATTATTTCCTTCAAAAATTATGCGACCCAAATTAAAATTTGGATTACACTTTTTACCAAAATTATTTTTAAAAAAAATAATGAAGTTTGTTTAAATGTAGTCTTATAAATGTTAAACTGAGGGGACAAAATCTTAAAAAAATGATAATGAAGTGCTTGCATATGAGATAATTATTAACTTGATTAAGTGCTTTTATAATTGAAAGCAAACAATCTTAAGAATAACACCGTGTAGATAATAAACTGCGTCGGTGCTCAAAATTGTATAAGAATTTTCTTGTTTCGTCGATTACTTTAGGACTAATGGTCCGATTTAAATTAAATTCGGTATGAAGATAGGTTGATTTAATCGAAACAAAATACTGATTCAACAGTTATAATGACGACGGATGCTAGTACGTAACACCCATTAGAGTTGGAGGATATTAAACTGTTATAGAAAATCAAAGAAACAATTAGGTTCATTAGAGGTTTTACCTCTTCCCCTCCTAGTTAATTTTATCACTGTGATTGTCTGCAACAAATTAAAAATTTTAGACAATCCAGTGACAGGTCCCTCTCGTTCAGCAACATTGTTTCCAGGCCATGAATAATTGCTTTAAGGAGGTTCGAGTTCCTCTTCATAGCATTTCAAATTTGCTTCATAGGATTGAGATCTAAAGATTTAGCTGACTATTAGATCAACAATTCCTAGAAGAGAGAAGACTTCAGCACGGATCAATTTAGTAGTTCGAAATAGCGAACATAAACTGCACAATGAAGAAAAAATAAGAAAAATGTCATTACGTTCGGAGTACTAAGCTGTACGGTGGTGGAATATAAGAATGTTGTCATTACGTTTTTATTTTATTTTATAACCGTCGTTGAGCAGCCGAACCAATTTTGGGTTTACGACTACTAATGTTCAACTCCGTAGCCTTGTAATTTTGAACCAATACGGAAGACAAGGAAACTCTTGGATCAGTACTCCCAGAAATATGATTTGTTATGGGAACATGGAGGACTTTGAGACTCGACAGATTTAACGTGCATCCGTCACCATTTACTGCACGGGGAGTCTTCGCCAGGAGGGGATCGAACCCATGACCTCTTGGACATGGGCCCAGCTCCCTACCAACCAGGCTCTCCCTGCCCTTTGTCATTGCGTTAGGACTACTGAAGGATATAATTTTTTTGTTTATGGTAACCCGTGCAGAGGACTTCTCTCTCTCATTGATGAGGTATTGATTTAATACGGTCGAACATTCATGTTCCAGATGATGGGCTCTAAGTTGCCAAACGTGTTTGTTTGTTAAAATGCTATGAGAACAAACTGCT